ACTCCAAACTTTTAGTATTTGTTTTCTTGATAGAATCACATTTGCAGGTTTGAACTGTTTAATGAAGAACAACAGCAGAATTCAATCTGATTTTGTGTATGTTGTAAGGATCACTTGACTGGTTTGTACAGGACTCTTAAGTTCTTGTAGAAAAGTTCTAGTTCTCCATAAAAAAAGATTAAGTTTTCTCCTTGGTCTGAGGGTGACAAAGCAATAGCAACTTCACTGCGACCCTCAGTTCTACTTTTAAATAGTCAGTTCAAAATCTTTAGGGTAACATGAAAGTGCTTTCAACTTTTACAGAAATGAACTACAGCAAATAAATTATGTTTGAATGCTGCCTGGATTACAGGTATATCCACATTATTGTGGGACTACAACTTCTAAAAAGATGTGGTGTCTGGAAATGAAGTCGAGGAAATAAAAATAAAATCAAATCACACCCCACTATCTGATCCCCAAACATCTGTCCTCAGAATTCCTTATTTAATTATTTAATTGTTATTTTAAGAAAACAACAGCAGTCTAGATGCTGACCAAGGAAGAGACAAACTACTGCACTTGGTTATTTCTCCACCTGGTCACACTTGTGCTTTCACTGTTTTAATGGTGGTGCTCAACTGAGCAAGAGAATCCACTATGGATCTCCATGGAAATGGGGTATTCCAAACCCTGCAAGATAGCCAAGAGCTATGTGTGCAGAGAAGTGCCTGGGGGAGTGAGAGGGGAAGAAAGAGCAGCTTCAATGCAAAGGAAAAAAGCAAAAGGAAGGTAATTAAAGTGATGGCATCACACAGCAGCCATCAGCTCTCCCAGATGCTCTACGTACCTTCCCAGATTTCCATTTGATCTCAGTTGATTTTGAAGAAGGGTCTCCACTTTCATTGAGGTGAAACTCTTTGGAGAGAACTTTATTTTCAAAGTAGGGATTCTCATCAAAATACTGCAGAGTGGAAAGCAAGGAGTTAGAACCCAGAGAATGGCAACACACAGGCCAGGTCAAAGCTGGCACTAAATGAGTAACTTAAGAGATTAAGTTACAAACTAGAGCCCAACATGCAATTACATCAAAAAAACCAATAAAATCACAAGTGAAGGAATCACTTAAAGTACTTACAAAATCTATTCTGTAACCTGATTTGATGTCTTCAAATTCTGTCACCTCAACTCTGGTCAAGTAATGCAGTGCTTCCTCATCTTCTTCTCCCAGCAGTGCAGATACTGAGACAGAATGAGGAATTCTCACATTAACAAAGCCATGGAATGTACATCATGCAGGCAAAATACAAGCAACTGATAGTAAGATCAATCTTAAAAGCAACACATCTGTCCAAACCACCTCCTTTAATTCCAGTTAGCAGCCAACAGACTATTTGCATTTACTGAGGTGAAAACATATATTTGCTTGTTGCAGTTTAGTGTTAAAAGAGCAGCAAACATCATGTACATCCATGTACCCTTCTTTGACACAGATTTTCATGCCTGTTGTTTGCCCACTCTAAGCAGTCTACAAGCTTGTTTTGCAGAAAGTTTATTGTGAAGAGTCCCAAGGAGCTCACTTCCAATTCAAAACACCCAAATAAACTAGAATCCTATTTTTTCTTTTTACTTTAAGGGCCCAATGCACTGAGTAAAGTGGGAAAGTCGCCATTTAAAATGCAGGCATTTTAAGATTGAAGTATATTAGTAAACAAGATGTTCTTTTGTCAACAAGTGCTAGAAATAAAAAGCTTATAAAATGCAACCTAGGACAGAAAGGAAGTTTTTGGTATGACCAGTGACAACTGTACGAGACCCTCAGAGCTGCAAGACACCCATGTAACAAGCAAGCCAATATTGAACTTACAGGGAAATAAGGAGGGCTATTAAGAATATACCTTGTGGGTGGTTGACAAATGTTGTTACCCAGAAATTCGGGATTTTGGCGATCAACTCTGACCTCTTCTGGAAGAATGGTTGGCGGAGTTTGTTGTATTTCTGTTCTACTTTCAAAATTTCCTCACTGGCTTGTTCATTCAGTCTGTAACAGAAGGAGCCATGTTAACCACAGGCAGAGAACTGGGAGTTAAGGACACACCATAAGTAGTTAACTAAGAGCTGAATGGGTTTGGTAAGATCAGTCTGTCATCTTTAACTAATGAAGTATCCCAAAAAACCTGAGACCCAGAGCTGTAACAACTATTAAACACCCTGCCAGAAGAATCTCACTGGTCTTAATGGAACCTTCCCAACACACAATGCTTTGCCAGAATGGACCTCTATTTATGCAAAGCAAAGTAGTGTTTTACCCCTTACACATTTTGTTTGCAAAAGACCTACAGATGGAGAACACACAACACCATCACCTGCTCTAACTTCTGTGCAGGCAAGGAAGCCACAGCAATTTTACACCCCATGCAAGTAAAATCTGAAGACATAACATTTGATTGTTGTTGTAAAAAGGGAAAGCCCTGACACTGCAACAGCTTCACAGGGTCAGAGCCCCAACAGTCACCTGGAGGACAGTGGGCAGGGAGAGAAGATCCAGGCAAAGACCCACAGCCCAGAGAGCTCTGCCATATAAAACTAACATTTCAGAGACATTTTCTATGCGTTATTCTACAAGCACACCGATATTGTAATAAAAATATATAATAAAAGCTGACTTTTCAACCAAGTTCTTGGTTCTGCTTGCAAACAGGGAAATACTTTTGCCAGATAACACCCACACGATCTCAAAAACCCAACAGAAAATACACTGCTGTTATCAAAACTACCACAATTAATTTAAAATTTTAAACTCAAGCTCTACCTTTTTAATTCTACACAATTAAGCAAGAAACCAGGACAGTTCTTTGTTTTTTTCAAAGCCTCTAATCAAGTCAGAACACATGTATGTCTTGGCAGAGTTCAAACAGAGAGAGCACTACTAAGCACTTAGTTTACTAAATATTTTTACTTTGACAGTTACACTTCCATTTCTGCTCAAAGGTTTTAAAAATTTGCTAGTGTTTACCTGTCTATTTCATTCTGTACTTCATCAATGTGTTCAATTGCTTCCTGTTGCTCTTTTTCTGAAAAACAAACGAAAATGTGTCAACATCCCTTCATTCTCAAGCCTGACAAATCACCTGGGGCTTCTCCTTAAGACCTTTTCTAGTGATCTACTGTAAAAGCTCCCGGGGATTTCTATTAAATGTCAGAAGTCCTATAAGGCCTCAAAGCTTCAGCCTCACAGGGTGCACTGGGAGCTGATGAAGTGCAGGAAAGTTTGACAAAACGGCCCTAAAGTGAGTTCACCCCCGGAAAACCACAGCTCACATCCCCCTCCACAGTTTTACAAGCCAACTTAATTTAAAAGTCAACCGTGACACATGAGCAGCAATTTAATTAAAGCGTTGTAAGCCGCGTTTACTACGACCAACACATTCGAGGGAATGTGAAATAATTTAGAGAGGACTGAGATATCAATAGAAACAGCGCGTCTGGGCACACGCCACCTTCCAAACAGCAAAGAGAACGCTCAGAAGGAGGGTTAGAAACAAAAAAGCCTCGAAAGCGGCAGCTCGCGGGTATTTTCTAACGGGCCCTTCCCCTGGCCGCAGGTTCGGCCGCGGCCGGGTTCCGGAGCGCTGTTTCCCCGCCGCGCGGGCGATGAATGAGCGGCCGCGGGAAGCGGCGGGCGCGGAGCAGCGCCCGGGGGCCGTGCCCGTCCCCGCCGCGGGGGCGCAGGACGCACGTGGGGCGGCAGCGCGGGCAGCGCCGCGGCCCCGGAGCGAGCCCGGCCTCCCAAACCCGCGGCCGCACGTGGGGCGGCCCCGGCCCCGCGTGTCCCCGCCGCCCCATCCCCGCAGCACCACGCGGCCGCGGGAGGCGGCGGCGCATCATGGCGGCGGCGGAGCGGCAGCACAATGAGGCTCCGCGGATGCCGCTCCGCGAGGGGCGGCGCGGGGGGGGTCCCGCTGCTCGGGCCGAGCCGCAGCGCCCCCCGCCCGGCCCCGCGGGGAGGGCGGCCGGGCCGGCGGCGCAGACAAAAGGGCGCTGTAACATGGCCTCCTCCCGCCGCCGCCGGGCCTGCACATCCGCCCGGCCCGGCCCGCGCTCCGCCCGCCCCCGGCGCGGCCGCGGCCCGTGCGGCGGGGGAAAATGGCGGTCGGGCGCGAGGCGGAGGCCGCGCCGGCTGCCGCCATTCCCGTCCCGCCCCCGGCGCGGCCTCACCTGAGGTCTCGTCGGCCCCATCGTGGTTGGAGTTCAGCTCCTTCTTACTGACTTTGGCCGCCGGCGCCGACATGTTGGAGGCTGCGGAGCTCGAAGGGCGGGAGGGAGGGGGGGCTGCAACGGGGGTGCGCGGGGGGAAGGGGGGGGAGCCGGGCGCTGACTCCTCCTGCTGCCGCTGCCGCCGCTGCTACCGCCGCCGCCGCTCGGGTCCCTCCGCCGCCGGGGCGCTCCCGCCTCCTCCGCGCGGTGCTGCCGGATACCAGGGCGGCAGCAGCGCCTCTCGCTGCCCTCGCACTCCTCACCCAGAGCCGCCACCGCCACCTCCTCCTCTGCTGCTGGCGAGGGGCGGGCACGCGGCGCGCATGCGCGGCCACCCCCCCCGCCCCAGCGCCGGGCCACGGCGGCCGCAACGCGCGTGCGCTCCGAGCCCCCCGCCCCGGGGCGCGCTGTGCCGCGGGCGTCGCGCTGCGCAGGCGCGGACGCGCTCTCCCCGCCCCGCGCCGGGGAAGGCGAGGCGGGCCCAGCGCGCGCGCAGCCGCGGGGAGGCCACGCCCCCGCTGTCGCCCTGGAGCCGGGCGTTGATTGGTGGGGAGACTCGGTAGGGGGGCGTGGCCTCGGCGCGGAGACACAGAGGACGGCGCGCGCGGGAGGGCGGAGGGGTATTTGGGGGGGGTTTCGCGCCTGCGCGCGGCGCACGTGCCCGCGCGGACTCGCTGAGGCGCCGCGCGCGAGGCCCCAGGGGTGTGTCACCTCCCCCCCCACAGTCCCCTCACGGCCGCCCCCCCCTTCCGGCCCGTGTGCAGGCACCGACACACGGCACGGAGAGGAGAAGAGGCAGCAATGGTGTTCGGGGGCACCTGTCTCCAGATGGTCCCAAATGGTCCCAAAAAGCGCCAATGCTGCGCTGTCCCGCCGCCAGAGGCGACCCCTCGGGACCGGCTTCAGAGCCACCGGCGAAGTCGTGTTTCCCCCTGGGAATGTAGTGATCCCTGTCTCCCTGCGCTGCCTCCTTTAGCTGGGATGTGTCCCAAAGCACTTACAGAATCACCAAGGCTGGGAGAGACCTTTGGGATCATCCGGTCCAACTATGCACCAAGTGCTCTGTAACCCCTAAATCACATCACCCTGCACCACATCCAACACCTCCAGGCATGGTGACTCCACCACCTCCCTGAGCAACCCATTCCAATGCCTGACACCTGAACAGTGAAAATACTGTTCTGATATCTGATTTGAATTGCCCATCTCAGCTTAAGGCCATTTCTTCTGCTCCTCTCACTGAAGACACAGCAGAAGAAACTGGCCCCCACCACACTACAACCTCCTCTCAGGTAGTTGTGGAGAGTGATGAGGTCCCCCCTGAGCCTCCTCAAGACTAAACAAGCCCATATAAATAACTTAGTTGAGGGCACAGAGCCCTGTCAGTCACACCCAGCCCGTCACTGTGGGAGCACAGCTCCAGAAGGTCACGGAGCCGCCTGCCAGCACCTGCCACTGCACCCAGAGCAGCAGGACTTTAAATAACCCATTTTGTCCCTTTCCTGTCCACCTGTCATGGCAGAGCTCAGTGCAGCTTCACAGCTACAGCTTACCCGGGTTTGCTCTTAAAGGAACAGCCGAGTCACTCTTTTCTATTGAAATCAGCACCACATCAGTCATAGACGAGTGTTATGACACAGATCGGGCTCAGAAACAAGTACAGCTTCGAGGAAATAGGAGTTACCCATTTGTATTTGCTTCTCAGTCACACATTAGCCCATTCTCCCTGCTTGTTTCCTCTTTTGCCTCATCAAATTGCCCTTACAAGGCCTGGATTAGTTCCTGCCTCCTCAGGGGTCTTGACTTTCGTTTTCTGGTTCCTACTCCCACCTGTTGCTTCCAAATCCCAATTGTATTTTTCCTTTTGTATTCCAAGCTGTCACTTCCCACCAGCTCTGTCTTTGCTTCCACTGCCACCCACAACAGCTGCCACATGTCCAGGATTTGGGTTGTGCTTCCCTGGGCAAAGACCAGCAGAGAGGAGCTGCCATCCCTTCGTTCTCTGGTTTCACACACAGCAATGACCACCACTGGTCACAAAAGGGAAGCAAAGCATCACAGCTTTATAAATGCAAGATTATCATATCCTTCCCGAGAGGGGTGTCCCAAGGCCTTTCTGAAGCCCTTCACAGCAAGGTAACTCCTTTCAGACTCTGCCTGCACCTCCCAACATCAATTAAAATGGATATCTTCCCATTCAGAAGAGGTAAGCTCATGTGTAGGGCTTGGTTTTCTTCCTCCTGTTTCCTTTGGGTCTCTTGACTATGCAGGTGTATTTCCTTGGGGTTTCTTTTTCTCATTTCTCACCTGTAATTTACTGTTATTTTGTCTTTCTCTAGATTAGCCTTTGAAGGTCTGTAATTTGAAATAGCAGTGCAAAGTTTGAAGGCTAATTCCAAGCAGGAACATAACGATCCAAGCAGTATCTGCCAGCTCCCTACTAGAATCCCTTGTTTAGTCTATAAATTACCTGGCATTCCTGAAGTACATGATCAAGGTGATCCACTGATGTATCCAAAGTCAAGTAATCATTAATTTTAACTGCTATACTGTTAAAAACACATTTCCACTATCTGTTTATACTGTCCTAAAACTAGCTATTATAAAAGAAAAAAGTGCATATTAATTATATATATTTAAAAGAATGTGAATATATGCAAATATTAAAATAACAAAATATATAATAATTAATATATATAAAATATTAAAATAAACATATTTCATTTTAGACACAAAATACAAACCTGTGTTTTCATATGAAAAAAGAAAGCAGAGGGTTCAGTTTTGGGGGAAGGAAGAGGTATTCTTTCACATAGTTTCTTTTTTTTTTTTTGCTTGCTTGCTTCAGTTTAGTGCTGGTGATGTGCTGTTCCCAGCTTCCTAAAACACCTTTTGTCCTAACTCTTCCTCAGTTCTCTTCCTGTTACAAAAGTTATGTGAACATCAGTACATTTTCTCCAGTTCTACATCCCTTTCCTCCCACTGACCAGGTACTGTTGCTTTAACAGCTTGGATTTTCTCCTTTTCCAAACAGAGCCTTCCTTATACAGCCCAACCACGGTCTAACTTCTGGGGACATTTCATAAAAGGTCTCAAAACAACAGATGCTCACTTGCTGCTGGGGCTTGGCTCAAAGAATTTGACAATTCCCAGAGTGATGCCCTCTCTGCACTCTCCTCTTTGCTCTATGGAAAAATGAAGGAGTAAAGCTAAGCCTCTGAGTTAGAGTCGTTGTTAAGCCCTGAGAAGGATGAGAGGAGAGCACCCAGTGGCTTCTGCAGCTGATTTCATTTAGTGTTTGTTCTTGCTGCTCACTCAGGAGGAACATGACTCAAATATTGTGAAAGAGCAAATGGCAACACAGCTCTCAACTCAGCCTGAAACTGCTCCTCTGTGTATGTACACAAACCCCACGGAGTTTCATTACAAAGGAAGAAGAGTGGGATCTGTGTGACACAAACCCTTGTTGTTACATGAGTTACCTGCTGTTACACAAGACTTTCAGAAATGACAGGTGATGCTCAGACCTAATACATAACTGGGTTTAATATCCCTGATACAATAACAACAAAAAAAAACCCCCAAACACACAACAAAAATTTGAAAGTTTAATTGCTAAATATTCAGTTACCTCCTTTCACTTCTTTCTAATGTTTTTCATTTTCTAAACCTCTAAGGCAGTTTTAGTCCTTGAATAACTGTTAAGGGGATAAATGTACAGTTATAATCCTGAGATACGGGGAGGGGTGTGAATGTATTCAGAGAAGATTTACATCCTTCTTCTCTCATCTTCTTGTAAGACCTTTATCAACTACTCTGATTACATCAAACAGAACAGTAACATTTTTCCCTGAACTGCACTGTCCAAGTAGCTGTGCTGCCTATATCACAAACACCTCATTCCTCATATTACATTACATATTACAAATTACAGAGTCAGGATTCTGGCTTGTGTTTGAATTTCAGGCTGCACAGTTCAAGCTGCAAAACTGTGGCATCTTCCACATGCAGTGCCTGAGTACTGAGTGCTCACAAATCAGGGAGTTACATCTTTGCAGCCTTCCCATGGCAATGACTTTGTCAGGCTAATTAATAAAATTGGGGGGATTTGGCAGCAGCTGATAATGATTAATGGCCTTACAATTTAGAGAGTGTAGAAGCAACTGCATGTTTTCCTCAAGAATTGACTAAACAGAGCTTCTTTGTAAAGGAAATCTTATATTTGCTCCTTGAGGTGAAAGTTCAGATCTCCCAATATATCTATCCTTGGTTAGGTGTGTTACTACAAGACAGAGACATGATTGGTAATCATGATTAATTCCTGGAATTCGAAGGCAGCTGTAAATTTTAAACACAAACCCCTAGTTTGGCAAATGAAATCAGAAAATGTGCTAAATCCTCTCAGATCCAATGCAGTGATGTGTGGAAGAAAGAGCACATTTCCTCCTAAGTATTTCTGCAGTGCAAAATGGGCATATAGAAAATCATGCAAGTCAGTATAATCAGTAGCAACTCACAGTTTTACCTCATTCCATCCCAAAGAATCTCACAGCCTTTATGGAGATTGTAGTAGAGAAATACAAACCAAGGATCATTTTACCCCCCCTGAAATGCAACCAACTGCTTAACAATTGTACCTCTATGCTGGGAGCCTGGTCTGCCACAGGAAACTTGCTCTGGATTAGGAACAAAGGTTCCCCCTTGGAATTTTTTAGACTCTATGAAATTTATGAGTATGGATATTAATTTTGTAGAGTCTATGAACACTTTTAAATGACTGGGCACACCAGTGAGTTGAAGGCACATGTGGAGCACACATAAGCTTGGACTTGATAGCAAAGCCTGACTGGCATATCAGGGCTGGCTGGGAGCAGCAGGGGCTGGTTTGCTGTGTGTGATCAGAGTGACAGCCCTCAGGAACCGCTGAGCCTCCCCGGCCCTACAAACAGTCTGGCACAGCCATTAACCAGGCAAATACGTCCCCTCCAACTGTTTATTCATCACTCCCGTTAGAACTGAATGGTGAGATAATGACAGAAGAATCTTCCACGTGTCCCTGCAGTTGTTGCAGTTTAAACCTTCGGATGAAAATATTTCGGGGCTGATAAGTGGCTTGGAGCAGGACAGCAGGTCAGTGACACTGACAGCAGGCAGTGACTAACAGTGTGTAGCTGAATAAATCCAGTGATCCTATTTATATTGGGGTTTATTTTTATTTTTGCTGGAATTCCCATTAGACATAGTTGCTAAACCTGATTTTTACTTTTTCCTATAGCAACATTTTTAACTTACCAGAGTATCTGCTTGGAATCCCTGAAGAGATGGATGGTCATGTGCTCACTCCCAGGTACCAGAGGCAAAGAGGCAGGCAAAATATTCTGAAAAACCTTAAATGAAATTGAAAGGCCGTGAAACCTAAGCCACTTCTGTACATGGGACATAAGCTTTGTGGGTGCTTAAGAATGTTTTGTTCATATTTTGCAGATAAGGTGTACAGTTGTGAATTTTGTTATTAGAGCCAGTCCATCCTGCAGTGAGGCAATAGGAGACTTCAACCGAGCTCAATACAGCTACAATTTCACAAAAATGTTTGAAAAACCAGATGTTTATTTGAAATCAGCTGGTGATTAAATGGTATATGTTGTGGTTGGGTTTGTGTCTCCATCTGAGGCTTTATTTTGCTACAGATGCTCTGTGTAATGAAAGCTCTCATGAGAAAAACTGAGCACTGACAAGAAGTATTCCTAGGTAGAATGATCAATCACAAATAAATACACTTTCAAACTGGAATACCGGAGGATTTATACTGGGAGTTATTCTGGAATACTTGTGCCAACCAAATTTTTATGTAGAAGGCCCTGAAATAATTCCCAGGGGAAGTAGCTCCTCAGTTTCCTTCAGTGATGCTCTATCTGAAGCAAGGCTGAATTTCCTCTCAGAAGCTCTTGTGCTAGAGAGGATTTCTAAGGAAACACAATAAATATAGATAAAAAAGCATGGAAGTGACAGTAGTAAAAATTGAAATGAATCCTGAATTGAAGCTTTAGGATAACTAAGGAAAAACTATACTTTGTGCTTCTGTGGGTTCTCCTGCAAGGAGATGTACAGAAGATCCCCTCCCTCTTCTCCACTCACAGGGAAATTAAAAGGGAGCCAACATTTCTACAGAGACAATTTATAAATGTTTGCTTTCCAGGATTTTAACTCTGGCCAATTCTCCAAACTCTTATTTATCATCTCCTCAGTCCTGCAGCAGGAAAACTTGCTGAATCCTAAGCAAAGTTGAGTAACACTTCTAGATTTGGTCCCTCAGGAATAGCAGTAGAGACAGATTTTACACTCTGCGTATTTCATCCATTGTCTTCTTACCAAGTGGCAGCGGGTTTTGTGGGAATCATTAAAAACTTCCCTTGTGATGCAGAGCACTATTGATATTTGAACTCTCAGGGGGAGTAACCTCTGTCTCTATCCAAAAAGCATCAGATTAAAATAAACACAACATTGCTCAGTGAAGAGTGAGGATGTTAATGACAATTCTGGGGTTTGAAGTTGGCATCACTCAAACATTTGCAGCGTGTCTTGAGGCCCGTGTAGGAGTGTGGTGACAGGAAAGGTGAGACAAAAGACAGGCAAACATGTAGGAATCTGTCATATACAGGTTTTGCTGTAATAGACATTGTACACATTGTTCTTTTCATCTGAGAATGTCAAAGCTCATTAAAAAAATCTAGTTAAATATAAGAAGCTCTGTGAGGAAAGTAATTCTTTTCCTGGTAGGTGAACAGAATGCCAGAGTTATTCAGTTATTGCTCATTAGAGCTGGAAACAAAACTCAGGAACAGGACAGGGCTCCAACTTGGGCTGCAGAAAGTGCTGCACGAGTTGCCGACAGTGAAGATCTGGGAGTGGAATTTGGTTAATTGTGTCAGTCTGTAGGAACAGTTACTATTTTTTGGCATTATATAGCTCCGAGAGTCCTGAGAGTCCTGCAAGGTGTTACCTGCTCACAAAGCAGAGAGGTGGCTCTGGCATGGAGGAATGTAAAGTCTTTCAGGACATAGTTTGACAACCTATTTTTTGGTAGAAATTCCTACTTATGCATTCCCCACCACACACTCCTCTTCCCCTTCACACTGTCCCTGCATTGTGCCAGTGCTTTTTTTTTCCTGGTGCAGCCCTATGTTAAATTGAATCAGGGAACTGATTTCAATTAGAAATAGTCCCCATAAACTCCATTTATTTTTAACTTAGACTAGTACGCTGAGCTGGTTCCCTGGTGCAGATGCATGAACAATGTCACAAGAAAGAGAGTCCCTTGAAGGGAGTAATGAAGGAGTGAGGAACATGTTGCACAAGTCTCACTTAGAGGTGTTTGTCCAACTGCCCTTAACCGAGCCCAACCATGACAAGGTTCTAATTGCAACTGGTGTGAAAAAATAGCTATTTTTTTTGTAAGTTTTGTTTAAATTAACACAAGCAAGTGGAATATATCAATAAACAAAACAGCAGCTCTGCCTCCTCAGGTGATCCTGGAAAAACTTTTAGAGCAGAATTTGAGATCATTGACAAATCATCATCCTTCCCTTTTCAGAGTCAAAACAAAGGAAATAACCTTTAAACTCCATGCTTGTTTTCACAGGGTTATGACTGGAAAATAATTTCATCTGCCTCTCTAAGGGGGGGTGGGATTAAACAAAGTCGAGACCATTTCCCTCCCACCACAGCCGTACATTTATTATCTGACTCACCACTTCTGGGACTCCTTCTGGCAGCTCTGGCTTTACTGCACTGAAAACTCAAGCCTGTGAAAATATTCCCTGTTTTCAGGTTACTTTGTTCTCTGTTTCGTTCAGGTCAGTATTCCTTCCTTTAGGGGTTTGGAACTAAACCTTCAGTAAGAGCTGGATGTTGCGGCTCTTAAGCCTTGTGGGTTGGGAAGGAAGGGGGGAGGGAAGGAAGGGAAAGCAGAAATGAAGGGGGAGGAGAGTCCATATCTGAAGAGAGATTCCAGGCTAGAGAAATTTTCCTGACATCCATTCAGTTTCCAGCAGAGCCTCCTTCAAGGGCTTTTCCTGAGATCCAAAGGCCCTTCCAATTCACAGCGGCATTTCCATGCAAGTTCCCCTCTGGGAGCTAAGGTATAACTGCACTCCTGGATAATAATCCCAAAGAACACCACCAGCCTCCCATTGAAATGTCAACTAGGCACTCCTGTTGTAGGGAGTAACAAAGAGATGCTAATATAATTAATTATGAAGCCTCGGTACCCTCATTAACACATCTTTAGTGCCTAGATCTTTGAAAATCAGCTGTATAAAGTGACTGTCAGAGTTAATTCCTTATAAATTGCCTCCTGTCACATCCCAGCACAGCAGCAAGTTCTCTCAGGCCTTGGTGCTAAGAAATCTGGGTGGTTTTTTTTAGTTCTGATGCAGTTATATCGCTGTTATTAAAGGTATAAGCTGTTGCATAAGTAGGACTTTGTCAGGCTGGAGTAGAGAAAAATAAAAATGCCTTTAGTCAACCCAGCTTGCACAGTTGGGGGCATAAATAGGAAAAGTTTCAGTCAACTAGATGGAGAACTAAGGACAAAAGAAAAAAAATAAAAACCAGGACTGAAAGGTGTCACATAATCTGGCATTAAAATGTTTCCGGACCTTTTTTTAAATTTGGGGATCGCAGCCAGTTTATGGCTCTCCCTCCTCCTGCTGCCTTTACGACAGCATTCCAGCTCCAGGCCTCATTCCAGAGCATCCTCCCTCCCCTCCACTCCCAAATATATATTTCAATAGGCTTAGGCTTCACGGAGTTCCAAAACCAGCATGTAATTGGGGCAATTGTCTTTTACACTCCTCCACAGAGAGCCACAGTCATGCAGCTTAAGCCCTGTTTTGTCATGTTTTCACTCTTTTTTTTTTTTTAAAGTGGGTCTGAGATCAGTTTTTGTGTTAGGAACAAATACATATATAGTGAAGAAAAAAGTTACCGAAATGGGCTGCATCGGTGGTTCCTTCTGTGGTTTCTGAGTCCCAGACTGTCACTGCTACAAGATAAAGGGAGGTGATAAAAGGAAAGTGATCCTTACAAATCACTTGGCATTTTCTGCAGCAGTTGAAACACTCACACTGACACATCCAATTTGTCTGTACAAGATATTCTGCTTCTCTTCATCTTCCATGTGCTTTTGAGAAGGTGATAATCTTTCCTGCAATACATAATTTCGTGAAGTTAGCTCTGTGTGTTTGTATAATATGCTCCAGGACCCTTTGGGATCCCCGTTGTACTTGGGATAACAAACCAATCAAAATGAGCTATTTATATTTGCCATTTCAGAAGTGGCTTTCACACTAAGTGATTTTGCTGGTCTAGCTAGCGTGGCAATATGCAAATTCTCTAAATGGAGGTGAAATTTCTACCAGTAAGAGGAGTCCTTGCAAATCTCTTTCTTGCTGTATTAGTTGACATCATGGTAGGAGCATTATTTTATTCTCCACTCTTACAGTACATCTCTGTATCCCAGTAAAGCTATGATGTATTTACTGATCACTCATTGTTCATAGAAATAATGTTTAAGAAATGAGAGTAGCGTGCTTGAAATTAAACAAATATACAGATTTCTGAAGAGCAATCAAGAACTATCATGCAAATTCTGCTTGCTTGCTTTACATAAGCACAGATCTGATGGTCCCAAGTGGGATGTAACTACTTATTTCTGAATGTCCTTTTTTGAAACAACACTTCTGCAAAGGAGAACTAGTTCTACTCAGATGAGCAATACCTGTCCACAATGCCTCCTGAGATAACCAGCTGCTGCAGACATAGCAATTAAAATCCCAATAGCTGTTTGAGATAGTGGACATAGTACGAGTTGATGAAGTGATGTACAGAAGAGATAACTAATTTTTAGTCATGCATGGTTACTGAAAAAGGGATTCATTTAAGGGATCTTGGGTTTTCAGCACTGCAAAGGGTCAGGTCCCTTTTAGGAATGGCACAGCAGATTGTACCCTTATGTCTGGGATGAGATACTGGACGTGCTGCTACGAACTCAGCAGGAACTGGAGGCTGCTGAGCCCAAACCAGGCGAGACACTGCCAATCACCCTGTGACACCCCCGAGGCCCTGCCCAAGGCAGAGGCTCCCAGCTGCCACCAAGTTCAGAGCCCCATGACAGCCAGGATTCGGGATCCTGAGCCTTTCACAGATGCCTCCTTGGACAATCCCTGGTGCTCGGCCCCGTGCCAGCCCCACTGCGGCTCCAACCCCGCTGGCAGTGCCTTTGTGCCCCTGTGGTGGTGACTTGCTGCCACCTGCCACAAAACCTTCCCCCAGCTCCTTCCTGGTCTGGTTACACTCCACTGAAATCTTTGTCTTATTATTAATCATCAAGGAAGGAATGTGGGATAAACAATACCTGCACAGGGCAAGGAATTGCACCCATATTTTATGAGTCCCCTACTGTAATTCTGCAGAGCACAGCAGATCCATGATTTTAATGGAAATGGATTCTTTGGATAATGTATCATGTCCCTGTGTAACAGGACATCAGAAATGAGGCAACATGTTTTCTGATGAGAGGGAGAAATAGGTTTTTAAAGCAAAAAGGGTACAGCATTTGCAGGGACATTTTGGGGTGGAAACAGGAAAAAGAAGGTCTGAAATTAGAGAAAATACATGAGCCTGTTAGGATGGACTGGGAATAAATAGGTAAGGGAGTCACAGAGCTTGAGAGAACACCTCAGGTCCGCACAAGGATCCGAACCCTCACCAAGGTACTGAGCACCTGGTGGGTTGCACAGACATTGTGTTCAACACTGACAGTTGTGGGGACCTTTTCTGCCTTCAGGTTTGGTGGATTTTAACATCACAACTCTCTAACAAAAGCCAAATATGGGAAAACTGATCAGATATTGTCCATATCCCAATAACAAGCACAAAGTGTCAGCACAAAGCCAGTTCAAACTCCATATTCCATCCTTTGGTTAATGCAAAGGCAATAGTTCAGTACCCAGACCTCAGCCAGACCAAATCTGTCACCTTGGGCCATTCCCAGTCACAGGTGGGAAAGGAACAACCAGGGAACAGAATGAGGTCTTGCTGGTTATACAAGCTGGGGAGACAAGTAGGTCCTGGGGTGACAATTCTATTAAACAAACCCTTGCTGTTGTTTGGAGAGTTTTGTTGGTTGGCTGTGGTTTGTTTTGAATAAAGGAGAAGATGTAAAAGTTCTGTTCCTCTGAACAAAACCATCGGTCAGCAAAAGGCAGTGCCTTCAATCATGTGTAAAGCCCCTCCCTGCCAGTCTGAGTTTCAAGAGCTCTTTCTCATGGCTGGACTGATCTGTGCATGTTGTTTTACTGTATCTGTTTGGGGTGGAGGGAGCCGAGGGGAAGGTGTAAAAGCGGAAGGCTCAGTTACGTCTCTCTATTTTTGGGTACAATCTGATGTTTGGCCTGTCTGGAGCCTCGACAGAACTGAATAGTTTCATTTATCACAAATCCAGGGCAGCGACTGCACCCACTAGTGGGGGAATTTTTACTGAGATGCAGCTCAGAGTGTTTGTTTTGCTCAGGTCACAGTGATCAGACCCCAGAGTGCAGCTTGTCTTACAGCTCAGTCCTTTTTTGATGCTTTTCCCCCCAGTGCTTCTTCCCTGTTCTCTCTTTACCTCAACCTTCTCCTGTTGTTTTCTGATGATTTGCTCCATTATGTGAAATTGAAAACTTCCTACACTCTCTTTTCCTCATGAAAAGAGAGAGGAAAGAGCACAGATCAGCCCTGCAGTAAAAACTGCCACTTCAGAGAGACCTGGCAGCCTCAGGCCAGGAACAGCCCTTCCTCAGTTATCCCCGATTTTGCCTTATTTCCAGCATGGAGTGAAAACAAAACCATCCCTGTATCTGATACTGCCAGGCCAGAAAGAAAAAGCAACATAAGATTTCTTGAAACACCTTTGATATATTAAAACTCCAGAGAAACTGGAATAAAGAAGGATCAAAGTGGTTACTTAGAACAGGCATTGTCTGCAGCTGTTAGCTCCTTTCTCATCCTCAGGGAAGAAAAAAGCCCAGACATGCACCACGTTCCAGGGAACATGTTCTACATGTGCAGTAACTTTGCATATTACTGGCTGAAAAAAATGTTGATTTATTTTTGGTCTCTTTGGTACTCAAATTCCAGTTTTCTCATCTCTTTGCCGTCTCAAAAAACTACAAACTTTCCTCCTTAAGTTCCCTCTGACAAGTTATTTAAAGTGTTTAAACTGCAGTTTGTGTTTAGCATTTTTATGATGAGGCACCTTGTATATTAATTCACACTTGTAATATTTACTCCTCTTCTAAACAGTAATATGCCTTGGCAGTTCTACTCATACCAATCTAAGATAATTTAATGATGACTTAAGATGATCTATTTATAGAGGATAAATCTTAAACATGAAGAACCTCTTAAAAAAACACTCTGCTATTGGGTTCAAATATTTAGTATCAGTTATTCAACATAAACTTTAAAAGTCCCACTACTTCCTGAATTTAAATATTTGCAGTAGAAAAATCTCATCCAACAATGCTTGTTTTCTGTCCTTTTAATAGGGTTTTTGAATTTGAATAGAAAATATATTTATTCCACTCATGAAGGGGCAGATGGTCTTGTCACTGTCCTGCATCTTTAAGCTCATGTCTTAAAAATTAAGCCTTTCTCAGGCAGTGCTGTACTGGATCTCACCAATACCAGCAGCAGAACATTGGTGTATGATACAGCAGTTAAGATTTTTAATGAAAAAGCTGAGGCAGGACCTCAAGTATTTTTTCCAGAGAAGTGACTGAACTCCTGCTGTGACAAAACCAGGACATTGTTTCCAACAGTCATGTTTTTTAAAGCTCCTTTGTAAATGGATGTTTTAAAAAAGGTGGAAACAGAAAGCTGAATGAGAAATAAAGATAATCAAGTCGACTCAAAACCACAGCTACAGACACCTGGCTGGAAATCTAGAGTTCTACAGCTGTGTTTTTGAGATGTTTCACTTGCCTTAAAATTGGTAGAAAGGACAGCAGAGTACAACTTGTAATTAAGTTTTGTAATTCATATCCTGACATGTGACCTGATGAAAAATAAGTTGCTGCTGGAGATGCCAAACTTGAACTCTGGAAATTCAGATTAACTCCTGTGCAAGTCAGAGAGAGATGACAGGGCTAAAAGCACCATCAGTCCAACCCATGGGTGCATTTATGTTCTTGGCTGTTCTGTGAGGTATCCTGAAGGTTCACACCAACCAGGGGAAGAATCACAGGGAATACACAGCCAGGATTTGAAATTCTGGAGGATTCAGTTCCATTGGAACTTTTTCTTTGCTTTGAAGGAGGTGCCACTGAACCTCCTTCTGCTCCAGTTTCACTGTCTGTAAAATGGGTATAATAGTTCTTTACCACGAGTTTTAGGGAGTCTTATTTCACTATTAATTGTGAAATATTTTAGATTCCTCAGAAGAGCCATTGCATTGGCTCTGACATAAATGGATTCACATGTGCTCCAGAGGAGAACTCACTGCTGAGCTCCTACTCTGTTGATTCCCACACCCAGGCCAGGCTCCTTCCCAGCAACAGCCGGAATAACTCCCCTAAGTTGGTGCATCTGTGCCTCCTCATGCCAGAGCTAAATTTAGCCCCTGCATTCATCACCAAGGGGTTCCAATGGAGTTGCAGATTGAAAAAAACTCTAGGCACAGGGCTACCTGTTGGGAATAATCACCTAAGGAAGCGGGACATCGGTCCCTGTCCCTGCGACAGGAGCAGCACAGGTGTTATCCAGCTGTTATCCAGCTGTACCCGTACCAGGGACACTCCCAGAGCTGCCCAGCGGGCGGGAGGCACTGGGTCCCTCAGTAATTCCAGGAGCTCGGTCCCTCAGTGATTCCCCCTCAGCACAAATCACCACAATTCCCTCATCAAAACCAACCAACGCAAGAGCAAAGCAACGAGTCCAAGCACACCCCGAGCTTTTCGCGTTCGGAGCCGGCTCCCCGGCCCCCTTCCCTCGGCAAACACACGGCGACACTCCAATCAGAGCGGGAATTCCCCCGTGTATCTGGAATTAGCGATAATTCCTCCTCAGCTTTGTCGCCCCCTCCCCGCCGCCATCTTAGCTCCTGGCAGCCCCCGCGCCCTCCCGCCTGTGCTGGCACTGGGGACCCGACGGCGCGGCAGGACCAGGCGGGCCCCAGCGAGGGCGGCCAGAGGGGGAAGAGAAACCGCCGCCGGACCTACAGCATTAGTGACAGTGCCGGGGACAGCCCGCGCCCCTCTCCCGCACGGAGCCGCCGCCCGCCCAGCACAGCCCCTCCGTGCCCGTCCCCAACATGGCTCCGCCCGACTCACTTTACCGCCCACGGCCCGGCGGGCTCGTCGCTCGGGTGACGTCATCGCGCATCGCCCGTTTCCATGGGAACCGGCGGAGCCTGCGGTGGGAGCGGGACGGGCCTCGACCCCCAAAGCTCCGGGATTCTCGATCCCGCCGGGACCCCCTCTCACATCCCGGCCTCACCATGTTCACGGACCTGGCGGCGCCCGGCGCCGACGTGCAGTCGCTGTGGAGGAGCGCCCGGAGTGCTCGCTGCGAGGCGGTGAGAGACCCCGGGGTGGCCTTGCTCCGCGCTCTTGTACCGCCGGGCCGAGCCGGGCCGCGCCTTCCCCGGTCCTGCCGGGATCGTGCCCCGACTTGCCCCCTCCGTGCTCCTCCGTGGCCGCCCGCAGGTCCCGGTGCCTGGGACCGAGCCCTACCCCGCGGGGCGCTGGCGGTGCGGGCCGGTGTGTGCCCGCCGGCTCTGCCCCTTCCAGCCCTTTACTGATTTGGCCCCCGTACACGAACTGGCAAAGAAACGCCCGCGCAGCTGCCGCCGAGCGGTTCGAGCGGTCATAACGCGGCGCTGTCACCTGTGCGGTGCTCGCCGGTCCCTCCGGAGCTCGCCGCTTTCTCACCTTCTCCAGCTCTCCCCATTCCGCGCTTTAGAGCACGGCCTGAACCTGGCTGGCATTCGGGCATCTCTGCCTCACATCAGCTCTCGGGAAGGTCACAAATACATCCCCTGCACAGGTACGGAGGCACCTGTGCTTAGCCATGAACCAGAGCTGTGCAGATGGGCTGGAAAGTCTCTATGAAACGCCAGAAGGTGCTTTGAATGCTTTGTGCAACACTTGTTTTCCTGTTTGGATTAGAGACTGTCTGTCTTCTTTTACCAGAAAAGCTGCCAGACTGGGAGAATTTCCACAGCAGAAGCTGCAGCACAGTCTCACACAGGCCAGGACGCCGCGGTGCAGACGGAACAGGGCAAAGATGCTCTCCAAGACTTCCAGCGAGAAGTCCAAGTAGATTACACTGGCCTTCTGTCATTCCTTCAAAGAGTGGAGGACGCTGTTATCAAAGAGCTAAATAAAAACTGGGAAAGCCGTGCCTTTGATGGCTTTGAAGTGAACTGGACAGATCAGAATGAAACAGTAAGTGGCAGAATTCAGACCCTTGTCATTGCCCAAGCAGGGCTGGTTGCAGTGGCTCTGAGTCAGTAGTTCTATTCCTGACTGCTGTGATTGTTCTTGCCAGGTTCTAATAATTAACCATTACAAGTTGGATTAGTTTGGGGGGGGTTTTCCACCTTTCTCCTTGCTTGGTAAAACTTATTCCTGCTGGTGACCGAGTTGTAGCAGCGGTGTGAGAAGGAAGGCTGCAATCAGTGCAGGCTTCTCTTCAGTGCCTTTAGAGCACTCCAGACTAGCAGGGATCTAGGAACAGTTGCAGTCAGTGATCTGGCAGCTCTTCTTACTTAAATTCTGTTTGTTTAGTGCACAGTGCTCAGGAATGGAAGCAGTTTGTATCAGATAGCAAACGTTGGGACTGACGTTTTCAAACCGCTCAGCAAGTGCCAGACTCACACGTGGGGGGTGCTGTGAATCCTCAGGCACAGCCTTCCAGAGCTGTGCAGTCTGAGAAAGGCAGTAATGGAGTGACAGTTGATTTGGTAGGGTTGTGTTGGGGCTTTGTTTCCCAGTAGGAATTAAACAACCGTTTCACATCAGTCCTTGGGCAGAGGGAAGCCCAGGCTGTAACAACACAATCACATCAGAGGTGGGCACAGAGCTCATGTCTCTGTGTTCAGAGATTGCTGCTTCAGTGCTTGGATTTGGTCTCTCCCAGGTGTTGTGTTTGCATACCTTGTCATACCCAGAGGCTCAGGATAAAAACCTGCAGGTCACCAGTGTCTCATGGAATGCCACGGGATCTGTCATCGCCTGTTCCTATGGCCGGTGAGTATCCGGGTGGATTGGGAGTGCAGCTGAGGCTGATAGGACACCTCAGGCTGACCTCAGGTCTAGATATGTTTGCTTTCTATTGTCAGTAATAAACTAACACATATAGAAATAATTCATCTTCAAAGTAACAAAATTATGTCTTATTTCTTCTACCTTTCCCCCTGCCCTGAAAATGGATACATGATCTTACTGTTTCTAGGTAGATTCTGTTTGGAAAGAATATGTAAAGAGCAGATGCACTTGCAAATATCTGTAGGTGGGGTTTGTGCTTTATCTTCACTGAGATCGTGGTGTTTCATGTGGTCTCTGAGAACCCTGGATGAGCCTGGCACCTGTTCATGCCCAGTGCACCAGACATGAACTGACACACATTCAAGGCTTTCTGAATGAGGCTTGGACAAAACATTCATGTAATTTAACAATGTCTGTACAGCCTCCTCTTCGTGGGCCCTAATGCTGCCCTTACTCTTGTTTCCTTCTGCTCCCATTTCCTTTGATTAAAAACCCCAGTAAAAGGGGTATCCCATGAGGGAATGTGTAGGGAAGAGTAAAACAGGGCAAACCTGTATGTTGGTTGCTCCTTCTGCTCTCCCAGTCTACAGCTGTTTGCAGATGGGAATGTGGTTTCTGTGTCTGTGGGTACCCTCAGTAGAGTTCCCTTCTCTGAACTTTCCATATGCACCCTTTTGATTGTTCCCATTATTTGCATGGTGAGTAGGCCTTGGAATAGGGAATCATACCTAAGATTTACTGGCTGGCACTTTGTTCTGTGAGCACAGACGTGGGCCTTGGCACACACTGTATAAACCAGCCCACAGAGATCCATCCCCTCGTGATCCCTTCACCTCAGTTTTCCTTCAGGCCACAAAGCAGCACATGGAAACGACCCACAGGGCATCCCAGAGCTCTGCTGGACTGGGATCCTCTGTGGGACAGGCAGGGCAAGACGTGGCTTTCTCTTTTTCAGGTTGGATGATGGGGACTGGAGCACGGAAAAATCCTACGTTTGTACCTGGAATCTGGACAGAAGAGGGTTGAATCCACAGCACCCTGACCTGGTGATGGATGTTCCCAGCTCTGTCATGTGCCTGGCTTTCCACCCCTCCCAGCCCTCACTGATAGCTGGTGGGTTGCTCTTACCTCAGACCTTGCCTGAAACACACCCTTATTTCCTGCAGCCTGGATCCTTTGGTTTCTGGCTCTGAGCTCAGCCTCAGATTTCCTGCAGAAGGAACAGTGTTGCAGCTCCTCAAACTGAGGAACTAATGCTCACCAACACAGATAAGTGCACTGTTACCTCTGAACTGGGACTTGCTGCCTCTAGTGATGTCTGCCTTTATATCATCTCCTCAGAGAGAGATGACAGAGGGAAATCCAGCCCAGGGTGTAAGGGAAGAACATACTTATTTCAGCAGAACAATGCTCTCTTACACCAGGGCAGACTGTGCCCTGTCCAGAGCTGCCCAACCTTTGAAGCTGCTGGGTCTGTTCCCACCACAGCTCCATTTGTGTGTTTGTCTGAGCTATCAGGCCTGAGATGTTCTATCTTTGTCCTTTCAGGTGGCCTTTTCAGTGGGGAGCTGGTGGTGTGGGACACCAGCAGGACAGAAGACCCTGTGATCTGGAGGACAGGGATGACAGATGACACCCACACTGACCCAGTCTATCAGGTAACAGAGATCATAGACAACAGGCAGCGCTGGGGGAGGTGAGTGTTGCCACAGCTCTGTTATCCCTTTGCTTCCTATCCACAGCCAAGCTGCTGCATTTCAGCAGCAGTCTCTTTTGCTGGCTATTTTCCCCCAAATCTAGCTCCTGAACAGACATTTACCTGTAAAAAATCACTTCTCTCTGTCCAGGGTAATTGAAGAGCAGGTTCATTCACACTTAACTAATTATTAATGCTGATGCAGCCAACAATACATGTGATGGTTTAAGAACACAAGTAGATCCTTGGGTGGAAGCCTGAAGCCCCCTGCTCTGAGGGGATTTACAAGCATGTCATTCAGTCTGGCTTCCTAAGGATTTTGTCCTTCTGGGGCCAATCTGTATTTCCTCATCTGAAAGGGAGGAAAACGTTGCTGTTTGTAGCTGGGTGAAAGTGCCATAAATGCCCCATCCCAAAAGTGAGGGCAGTGAACCATAGAAACTGCAATAGAGAATTCAGGCCTGCATTTCTCTCCTCACATCTGTGTCTGTGCCAGTCCCAGCAGCAGCTGGTTTGGTACCAGGCTCAGTGGCTGCTGCCTGGCCCCGCTCTCGTGTTGTCCTGGCAGGTCCAGGCACCGCTGGCAGCCAAGCATGGGCTGGGCCTTTGTGACAGTCCCCCACCTGAGCTGGTGGCATTTGGAACAGGTTCACTGGTTACCTGACACCAAGCACAGACACCACTCCCGGCTGCTGAGCGTGTCCACCGATGGGAAGATCCTGGTGTGGAGGGAGGAGCGGGACGGGCGGCTGGCCTTGGCCGACGGATTCGCCGTGGTGGCTCAGCAGATCCCTCGTAGCACTCGGCTGAAGAAGGTGAGTTCAGCAGCTCAAAGAGCTGATCCTACAAAAACACTCTAAACCCCGGAGCCCAAGTGTTAGAGCTCACCCTGCACACGAGAAGGACCAGGAAAATCTCATTCTGAACACACACACTAACCCTTGATCCCCATCTCCTTTCCCACACTGAAATCACCTTTGGAAGGCTGGCAACAGCTAAGGTTTTGCCATGATCTAAAGAGAAGCTGCTGGAATGGAGAACTTGCTTCTAATATTAATTCACAGAATCCCTCTGTAGGAGGATGCAGCAGCAACAGTTGAAGGCTGAGCTGTGCCCTGGGTCCCTGGCAGGCTGGGCTGAGCTGCTCCGACCACATCTGCCTTTCCCTGGAGCTCCAGTGCTCACACCAGCTCTCTCTCTTTTCTCCCAGTTGGCCTGGGCAGAGGCAGCCATGGGGGTGACCTCGCTGTCCTTCTCCCCCTTCGATCCCCACATATTTGTGGTGGGTGTGGAGGGGGGCTATTCCCTGAGGTGCTCCACTGCAGCTCAGACTCCGGCTCTCCCTCCCACGGGCAGCTCCATTCCCCTCAGAGCGCCGGTGGAACTCGCCTTTTCCCCCCACGCTGGGCCCGTCTACTCCGTGAGCTGCTCGCCCTTCCACAGGCAAGTGCTGCATGTTGGACACAGTTACCCTGGCTCTAAACACACGTTTCTCAAATAGCCCCTGGGGTGTGTTTACAAGTTCCAAAAGAGTAGCACCTGGCATTGTGAACTTTAGTTATAGTAGAAACAATGTCCCCTGGCTCTGGTGAAGCTGCCCACTAATGCAGTGTGTGGGCACACGAGCAACATCAACACCTTTCATAGATCATCCCAGTTGTTACAATTATAAATCAGTTTAAAGACAAGGGTAGGAGCTGCTAAAGTCCTTTACTTGGGCAGATCACTAAATATCTTGCTAAATCTGTAAGACTTTCTGACACCAGAAATCTCAATAGTAGCTGCTGCCAGAATTTAAATGAGAAGCTCCCGTCTCTGCCAGCAGTTCACCCACCATCCACAGAGGCCCCAAGCATGAAACATGCTGACAGCCCAGGTTTGCATTTAATTTGCATGAGACAAACCCATC